TGGGGTAGAAAAGGGCGGGTGCTCGGCTTGCTGCATTGATAGCTCCCAGCTGCTCAGCCTGCACCTCTCTGCTCCCATCTAGCCCCGCCTTGATTGCCCAGGCAACCAGCAGTCCAGCCAATCAGCGTCTGGGACCGCGCCTGTGTCGGGCTCTGCAGAAGGCATGACTGGTAAGTGCAGCGGAGCGCGAAACGCGTGTCTGAGGTCTGGTGGGTTGGAGGAGGCTGTAAGGATTTCGGCTGGAGTTTTGTTCTTCGATGCAAAACTTAAGAAGTGAAAAGATTAGAGCACTGGTATGAACCCTCCCAGACTCTGGGGGAGGGGAGCCCCACTATTTCAGAGCCCTTGATCCTCTGACTCGCACAAACTCCGGTGAGCATTTTATTTTAGCCTTGGAAGCAAAACTTCGCACCAAAACAGAGATCGGAAACTGGCCAAATCTGGCCCACTGCCACACCTCCTTTGGTCTGATAATACAGAGGTCTTTGAAAAGTTGGTGGAGGACCGAGGCAGCCATATTCCACATGGCGACAGTGCTGTTCAAGTCCTGGAACCAGCGGCTTGAAAAGTATGCGGGGCGCGTATGCTATCACACCCAAAATCCCCAAAAGGCAGAACGAGGGGAGTGCGGGTGACCATCCTCCACGGTGGGTACTTTCTCACTTTCCCTGTCACTCCTGCGGCTCACGAGTCCTCTGACAAAATGGAAGGAAAAAAACATGCAAACTGTGTATTATGAGAAAAACGATGGCTGTATCTCAAAATATGGTTGTACCCAAACTCGTATTTTAATCTCATTTTCGACGAGATTTTAGAAGTCCCTTGTATTTAAAACATTTTGGAATAGGTTGAAATATTTTACATAAAAATCTGTAACTTCACCTAAAAATGTGGATTCCAATTGCGGAGGAAAATGGGAAGATCTGGCCATTGGTGGACTAGAGCCCAGGAAGCTGCTGCCACGGTTCCATGACAGACAGACCCAACTCCAGGCTTCCTGGCCCAGGAGTGGGTTTCCACTGTGACCCTTGGAATGGGCATACCTATCTGGCATGGGGCGGGTTTCAGTGACAGAACCTCCCCACCGTCACATCAGTACAGGGACCTCAGAGGTCACCCCATCTGATGGCCTCTAACTCATCCCTGACCAGCTGCCACACCTACAGGCCGGGGTGGTTCCCCGGGTCCTCACTCTGAGCTTGCACAATGCTGTTTAGGAAGTTGTTTCCTTAACTGTGAGGCAGAACTCTTATCTTTTTGTTATTTTCTACTTTCCGAGCCTAGTTCTGCTTCTGAAAACATACACGTACACACATACACACACGTACACACACACGTACTACCTCATCTTGCTAGGAGTAACTGGGGGAAGAGCTGGCCGTTGCAGTTGACAAACTGTGGTTGTCCAAATTTCAGAAAAGAGCTGATGAAGGAAACGCGCCACCCTGTAAGTTGCAGAGGTGTTCTTTTAAAATTTTTAGCTGATGGCATGTGTGATTGCTGGGGATGGGGGAGTGAGAAAGCACTCTCCCCCTCCCCGCCATGGGGGACAGTCACACCACGGTCTCCTCTCTTCCAACCCTTCTTTCAGGATGTTGGGCAAGCATGCACACATACCCGGCGGGTTTGCTCAAGCCTCCAGATCCGGGATGTGAAAGGTGTAGTTGGGACCAGCAGTTAGCGTAATGGCTATGTCGCTGGACTCCCACATAGTGGACCGCGGTTCACGTCCTGGACCTGGTGGCTTAAAACTCATGCCGGGCACGCGTGTGTGCGTGCCCAAGATCCCGAGAGGAGAATGGAGGAGAAGGGATTGCAGTGTGGCCATCCCCCCTGGGGGGGTGATTTCTTCCTTTCTGTCTCTCTGTCTCTGTCTGTCTGGAGAGCACATGAGCCCTATAGCAAAAACCTCTAAAACAAAATAATAAAATTAAAAAGAAAAGAAAGAAAGAAAAGTGCAGTTGGTCACGTTGGATCCAGCTGCCCTAACCACCGTTCTTAGGGGCCGGCCCACAGGATAGTATTCTTTATTTTTTTGACCATACAGTATATGCACTCACCAGAGAGGAGAGAGACAGAGGGAGAGTGAA